TTGAAGTGCTAACAGAGCCCAGGTGTTGCAGATGAGCATCCGGGACCCCTAACCTATGTCCTAGATGTGTTCTCTTCAGCTCTATGCTAGTGAGCCACTGTTACTGAAGAGTCTTTTTCAGATGCTTTGAGGCAGAAAAAGGATTGAGCATCAGTGCCTTAAGGCTTTAATTCCTTGGCTAGAAAATGAGGATGACTATAGGAAGAGCTATAAGAATTGAATAACTATGCTAATTGTGAATCTGTTACTCTGTGTATTTACATAAAAATTATTTAATAAGTCTTCAACTAACACCTGCTAAATCTGAAACATTTTTAAATGACTACATAGTCATTATGGTTAGGGGAGTTCTTTAAAATAAATATTTTTCTTTTGAGGAAAACAAGTTTATAATTATAGCCTACAGTGATTAAAGTGCTCATAAAAGTGATGAGATTTAAATAATGTGAAAAAGATGTCATAGATTGAAGAGAAACATATCTTGAGTTGGCAAAGTGCTAAATTGGTAAATGAATTAAGATCACTGTAACTCTTGGCACACCTTAGTTTTAAATACAACTGGTAACAACTGTTTTTCCTTTCTAATAACCTTTACTTAAATTCCTTTTCTAAAATTGATGTTCATGAATAGAATTAATGTCTCTATTGCAAGCTAATTTATTTTTGTACTTTTTTGGGGGATAGACTTTAACCCACAGTATGCTCCTGTGCATAAACTATTATAATAAACTTACAGTAGATTTTTTTCTCAGTGTTTATTTGTATAAATACATATACATACATATATAAATATATATTTTATGTGTATGTATATATATATATATATATCCCAAAATGCTAAGAACTTTATTTGTTTGATCAGAACCTTACATTCCTAAGATAATTATAAATTTTAAAAAAGAGCTTTGTTGAGATATAATTCACCAATTAAACAATTCACCCATTTAAAGCATACGATTTCATGGTTTTTAGTCCATTCACAAAGCTGTGCAGCCATCACCACAGTCACTTTTAGGACATTTTAATCTACCCCAAAAGCAGTTTAAGACCCATTTGTAGTTACTCCCCTTTTCCATCACCTGCCTCTCCCAGCCCTTAGGCAACCACCATCTATTTCTGTATCTATTTGTTTGTTCTGGACATTTCATATAAATGTCATCATACAGTGTGTAGTCTTTAATGACTGGCTTCTTTCACGCGCCATAATGTTTGCAAGTTCATCCGTGTTGTAGTACATACCAGTACTTCATTCCTTCTTATTGCTGAATAATCCTCTGTCATTTGGATATACCACATCGTATTTATTCACATCAATTGATGGACATTTGAGCTGTTGACAGTTTTGGGCTATTATAAATAATGCTGCTATGAATATTCATGTACTTTTTTGGTGAACATATGTTTAAAATTATTTTGGGTATAACCTAGGAGCAGAATTACTGGGTCCTATGATAACAAAGTGTTTAACTTTTTGAGGAGCTGCCAAACTGTTTTCTAAAGTGGCTGCACCATTTTATATTTCCACCAGAAATTTATGAGGGTTCCAGTTTCTCAGTATCCTCATCAACACTTGTTATTATCTGTACTTTTGATATAACTACCCAAGGGACATGAAGTGGTATCGTGGTTTTGATTTACATGATCATATTAGCTAATGAAGTTGAACATCTCTTCACGTACTTATTGGCTACTCTTGTATATCTTTGGTGGAATGTTTATTCAGATCTTTTACCCAGTAGCCTTATCATATGGATAGCTTTGTTTTAAAAAAATAAATAAATTTTTAGAGGAGCTTTAGGTACATAGCACAATTGAGTGGAAAGTACATTCAAATAGCCCATGTCCCCACACATATGCAACATCCCCCGTCACCAACATCCTGCACCAGAGTGGTATGGTAAATTGTTACAATTGATGAACCTCCATTGACACATCATTATCACGAAAGTCCATAGCGGGTTGATTTCTCAGTCTCTGACGGTATACTTTGAAGCATGAAAGTTTTTAATTTTGATGAAATCCAATTTTTTATTTTTTTCTTTTATTCCTTGTGCTCTGGTGTCACATTTAACAAACCATTGCCTCATCCATGGTGATGAAGATTTATGCTGTGTTTTCTTCAAAAAGTTTTAACATTTTAGCTTTTACATTTATGTCTGTGATCCATTTTGAATTAATTTTTGTATTTATTGTGGGGTAGCGGGGCAGGGGCCAACTTCATTCTTTTGCATGGGAATGTCCAGTTGTCCCAAGATCATTTGTTTGTAAGACTATTCTTTCTTCATCGAATTTTCTTGATACCTTTGTTGAAAACTACTTGACTGTAAATGTAATGGTGTATTTCTGGACTGTCAACTCTGTTCTATTATGTCTATCCATCCTTATACAAGTGCCTCACTGTCTTGATTACTGTAGCTTTGTATTAAGTGTTCAAACTGGGAAGTATGAATTCTCTTTCATTCCTTTGTCCTTATGACATACATTCTTCTCATTTCCGTATTCTCTCAGAATGATAATATAATAATTTCAGATTGATATTTATTGTTTTAGTTATTAAAGCTTATGGAATCAGTATTCACAGTTGAGCCATGTAGCATATCTTATTTTCCTTTCCTGTATAGTATTTTGTTTTACCTGGAATTAATGATTCTTCTCTTCTTTTTCTTCTACCTTTTTTTAAAGTATTCAACCCCAAAGCCTTCTCCCAGTTGTGAAACTCCTTACAGTACATTCAAGAAATCTCTTCCAGATCTTTATGATCTGTCTAATTCAAATCGATTGGTTTTACTCTCTAGATTTGTTGCATAGTTTTGGGTCAGAAACTATCTTTTCATCATCATGGAAATTTCATTTGTTGGTTCCTTGGATCCTTTATTATTCCTGTTTCTTCATTTACTACCCCATTTGGGTGGGAGTAAAAATCTCTAAAATTGTCTAAAATCTTCCTGTGAAAGGGCTCATAGGAGGAAAATTTTCGAAACCCTCTGTGCCCAAAAATGTTTTTATCCTACCCTCTCACTTTAATTTAGCATTCTAGGCTGGAGAACATTTTTTCTAGTGGAATTTTGAAGTCATTGCTCCATTGTCTTCCAACTTTTAGTGATATTGTTTAGAATTTTAGTGCCATTCTTTTACTCTTGATTTTTTATAAGAAACCTAGATTTCCTCTGGAATTTTGTAGAATCTACTTGTTCCTAGTCTTCTAAGTTTTCATGACGATGTTCCTTGTTGGCCCTTGGCATGCCTGGAAACTTGTCTTTTTATTGGGGACAATGTTATAATTATTTTATTGATAACTTCCTTTTCTTCATTTTTTAATGTCTCTTTTCTGTTATTCCTGTTTGGATGTTGTTCCACCTTGTTTGGATCTCACTCTCTGCCTCTCTTTCTTTCCTATTTTCCATTTCTTAGTCTTTTTACTTTACTTTCTGATAGATTTCATGAACTTTATCTTCTAACCTTTCAATTGAAATATATATTTCTGCTTTCTTAATTTTAATTTCCATGAGCTTCTTTTTAATGTTCTTATCATTTCTGTTCTTATTTTATAGATGCAACATCTTTTCTGAGGATTTTAGTGGTCTGATTTGTTGGTTGTGTTTTTGTGGTTTATTTTTACTGCACATTCTTTGTTTCTCTGCAGTCACTTTTTTTTTCTGTTTGTTATTTTGGCATCTGGCTTTCATACTTGAGGCTTTCATATTTGAGGTCCCATAATGTTTGGCTGTCTGTTTCTATTTAAGACCTTACTTTACATTAGATGACTTCACATTAGATGACCCCCGATATTGGGATTCTTTTCTCTACGACTGACTGCATTCCTAAAAGAAGGCTTAATTCTTCTATCTGACTCCCAATATTCTGTATACAAGCATTTACTTAATCCACTGATAATCAACTCTGACCCTAAGCTCTGTTTTGTACTTCCCAGACTGGAGATACCTTGCTTTACTTTTTCCAGAGAATTAACAGCTTCTGGGCTAGGGAAAGGATAGTTGTTTGCTTGAATAGAATGAGGAATCAGGAAGTGGAACTGAGCTGCTTCTCAAAGAGACTTTCAACCTGTCTTATTTCTTGTTCGTTTTGCTTCCAGTGCCATCTGGGGCCATCCCAGAGTCTCTTGTCAGGGGTTGTAGTATAAATTACTTTGCTTCTGAGCTTTCTCCTCTGTTTTTCTCAGCTTCCTTAGTAGTCAAGAGAGTGAAGTCTGTTACCAATTGTTCATCTGCTTTTCTGCTTTCAAAATTTACCTGCTGTTCTCTCAGATATTAGTCCTTGTAGATTTATGCTATTTTTAAAATCTCTTTATTCTCATTTCATGGAATTTCAGGAGATGCTGAAAATAAATGCTTATGTCCAATTCACCATCTTCAACAAAAAGGACTCTGCTTCAATTTTTAATCTCAGAGGCTTCGCAGTTTTTCTTCGACCTTCACTATAACCCTCACTTGATTTGTTTTTAAAATATACTAGATGCTGTCTTAGCTGACCTTCACATAACTGGCATGCCAGATTAATGAATACTCTCCATTCTCTCTGTAAAATACATTATGGGTGCCCACTGCAAAGAGCAAAAGTCACTCTTAAGTACATCGGCACGCTTCTGCTCCCACCAGTTGAGTTGTGTGTGCCTGCAAGGGTCAGTTTATTCTACTTTAAAGAATGGAAGCTGGAAATAGTAGTTGATATATTATGGGTGTGATTGTATAAGAAAAACATCATGGAATACTAATGAGCTACATCAAAAGTTAATGAATGAGTACATGTTGTTTTAAAGTAAAATGTTTATGCTTGATGTTGACTTGTTATGATTCTCTGTTTTAACATCTTTCTCAGTTAATGAACAGCTGCTAGCTCCAAATATATTGGGTGACAGCTTGTGTTAAAATAACATAGACATGTCATTATATCCTGTGGGTCAAATGTATGATTCTGCCATATTGCATGCTGAATTTTTACATGCTGAATTTTTACTTAGCAAGACAATTGTTTTTGTTTAGTTCCAGATGTTGAAGTGAAAGGAGAGTACTCTAGCTATTATCTCTTGTTACAAGGTGATGACAGTAGGAAATGTAAAGCCACACTGATTCACTCAGCCAACCAGATCAATGGCTCATTTGCTCTCAGTTTAATTCATGGAAAGATGAAAGCAAGGACAGAAGACACCATGTTGAGTAAGTGTTAACTTTAGGTGGAAAACATTTTTATATTCGTTTGTATATATAATTAACTTAGGTGGTTTTTAATGAACTTATCTCCAAACTTTGTTTCACTTTTAGCAAATTTACCGTTTTATTTTAGACATATTATAACATATTTGAACAATTTAGAGGACAGAGAAGTAATCCCTTTTATATTATACCCAGTACAATTTATTAGGTCAACTCTCAGTACCAACTAGGAAATTCTTAATATTTTTCACTTTAAACACATTTTATTTTTCTATAATTTATTTCTTATTTTATTTCTCTCAAGCATCTTGTTCTATTTTATTGCTCATCTTTTCTTTTTTCTCCAAGTTCTACATTTTGGTTATTTATTACTTACCGTGTGACAAACCACCCCAAATTTAGCTTTAAAAAGACTATGTCTTGTAGTCCTGTGGGTTGACTGGGCTTAGCTGGATGTTTCTATTTTGAAGTCTCACATAGGAGTGCAGTCACACACAGATGGGGCTCTAGTCATTGGAAGACTCAACAGGGCTTAGTATATAAGGTGGCCCTTCACCCACACGTTTGGCACCTGGGTTAGGATGGCTGGGACAGATGAAAGTGAACTTTCTTTTTCATGGCCAGCTTGGGCTTCCTCACAGCATGAGGGTCTCATGGGAGTCTGATTTCTTCTATGGTTGCCAGCTTCCCTTAGAGCAATTGTCCTATGGCCTAGCCTAGAGGCCATTCACTGTCACTTTTACCGTACTTTATTGGTTTCCTAGGGCCAGCCTGGGTTCATTGTGGAAGCACTACACGAAGGGTGAAAAGCAGATGTGGTTCACTGGGGGCCATCTTTAGAGACAAGCTACCGTACTCCCATCTGTATTTCACATAGGAGTTTCAGTAGCTGAGCCTGTAGAAGAAAATGTGGTAGAGAGAATTCTGTTCTGCTATCCAAATCCTTCAATTTAAGAAGCAAGTCGGAGTTTTAAAATGTACAGCAATTTAGTATGCTTGTTTTCTGTAGCATAATTATTATTTATTATGAAATATGCAAGATCAAGAGAGACGAGTAGTTGACTTTATTTTAATTATGTAATAACACATTTCTGGGGAACTGAATATTAATTGTTGTCATAGAACATTATACTGATTTTTTTCTGTTTCTCAGGCTTTCCTTTTGACTTCTTGTCACTTCCACATTTTTCTGGGGAGCAACTTATACAGAGAGAGAAGCAGTTAGTTAATGTTCAAGCTTTGGCTTTGAAAGAATGTCTGAGTAAGTAATACTCTGTACATTTCATTCTCCTGTAAGGATGTCGACTTGTTCAGACATAATGCATTGTTATTGTTATCTCCACGCTTTTTCTTATATACTTTGTCTTTTAGGTATGACTCTCATTTGTAGAACTATTTTTATTCTTGTAGAGGTAATGTAGAGTAAGACTAAACTTTTTTCCCACCACATTCATAAATTTTTCTATAAATAAATTTTTTTATTTATTCATATATCAGTTAACTTTTATAAAAATATTTCTCCAAGGAAATTTTGTATCTGACCATTATCAACTGTATGCTAGAAAAGATACCTAAATCTTATTCTGGTTAATATATATCTCTTTATAAAATTTCTCTTTATACATATTTTAGTTGTCATAGGAGGATAGAGACTGCAAATAGAAGAAAATGCAAGTTCAGAGAAATTAATGTTAACATGAGCATTAATTCTTCAGTTTTGATCATGACTACTAATAATAACTAACCACATTTCCAATACTGGGTAAAGTTGGCATTATGGATTTTTCCTTATTCAAGAAATTAACACCTTTTCAAGGGTCATGGTTTAAGTTTCTTTTTTTTCTGTATTACTATGTTATGAGTCTTAACATTTTTTTTTTTTATAAATAATCACCCATTAGTATCTAACATGAACTTATTTTAAGCAAATTGAGACAGAATTTCTAAGAAATTAAATCAAATTGTGAGGGCTCATTGGTTTTAGAGATAAAATATTAGAATTAAGTAGCTACATTATTAAAAAACTCTCATTCTTTAAAAACATTTAAAAATATCTTGAATTTAGTAGCCTATTTTATTCAGTGGAAAATAAGACTTGCCTACTTTTTCAGTTGTACAAAGTCAGGGTAATTGTGTAGTTTTGAACTCCAACAATTGTGTTTTTTGTTTCTTTTTTTTAACTATGAAAATGATAGTAGCTCAAGGAAAATATAATTAGGAAGACAAATCAGTTTCAGTAAAAAATAGTACATGTTAGAATCCAACAAAGAAAGAAATACTGTAATACTACTATTTTTGTGGATAAAATACTTTAATTTCAAACATCGACCAACAGTGTTATTCACTCACTTCTTGACTTTGTTCTGTCCCTGCTAAACCCTTCTGCAGGCCCTGATTTCTTGCCATAAACCTCCTGCAGCTTTTTATAACTCAGTACCTTCAGCATCTCCCCTCTCTTTTATCTTCGCCTCTCTTTCTTACCCTTCCAACCAGAAAGACTATCAGAGTGGAAGAAGAGGCAGCTCTCTGAAGCTGATGCATCTCCCATTTGGGTAAGAAGAGTTAACCCTTGTAGGGCCATCCCTTCTGCTTGGTTGGGAAGGGACATCCTAAACAGCTAAAACGACATAGCTGCCTGCAGGTATGACCAGAAGCTCTGCTGGAGGTAGGGAGAAAGGAAGTACTAAATGGATGCTGAAAACATAGAAGCACCAGTATCTGAACTGTCACACAGGCAGCAGCTGTAAGGATGCCACAGGGCTGGGCAAAGGAAAGGGCACGTAGGAGGCCTGAAGTTGATGGAAGCCTTGGGGCTAGTAGCTGCTAGAGATACCAGCTCTGGGCATATCCAGGAAGTGGCCAGTTTGCAATCTGAAGCTTTAAATCTTGATTAAGATTAAGGACTCAGTTAACCCATTGATGATGGAAGTACCCAGAGAGTTGATAACGGATTAAAAATTTGGGGACAAATATGTATCCGTTCAGAATTCCTATATCTCAAAAGACAGAGTTAAATGACTGTAAAATAAAGTTTTCAATGTAAGAATACCTGATTCACAGAGAAGTGAAATATGAATACAAAAGTACTTAAACTGATATTTTTAATTGTTATTTGTGATAAAAAATAATGTAATGGAAACAACTTTCTTTGGGAAAAAAATCAGCAATTCTATATCAGTATGAAGATTGTGTATTCTTTGCTGAAAAACAGAAAGTTGTTCCACAAGAATTTTCGAAATTATTAAGACATGGAGGAAGCTTATCTTCATCTCCCCCTGTCCTTTCTCTGAGTAGTACTGAAGCAAAAAGAGCTACTGGAAAAGTTTGCACAAAAATGTGCAAACTTGATTCACATTATTAAGGCACTTTGTTCTTTAAAATAACACAAAAGTCAATTAAAACTTCTGTTAGGGTTTAAGTTTTTAGAATCATGTATTTTCACTAAGTTTATTTTTAAAAATGGCATCTAATACTCTTGTTTAGAATGACATTTGAATTTTATAATTTATATTTTCCCTTTTTGTAATTTATAACTTTTTGTTTTTGGAAATCTTATTTCACTGACTTTTAAAGAAAAAGTTTAAGAATGCTGAACAATTTTTAAATAAAAGACTGTTCAGTATGATGCAGAACAGATACCGAAACATCAATGCTGTCATTTTGTTCCAGTATTGCGGTCACTGCTCCGAGCTCTCCACATCTTTTTAACATTTATAGCACCCAGTGCAAACCTGATTCATGCTTAATCTGCTGATTCTTTAGATATTCTACTTTTAAATATTTTTCTTTAATAAATCCTCGGTTTTTACTAGCTTTTTTAGGAATGATAGTTTTTAGCTAATCTGTTTTTAGACTTTAGTTCACTATATTTCTTCAACTCTTTATCTGACTCTGTGTGCAAACTCATTTGTGTAGAGACTATTTTTTGCCTAGGTAAATTATCCTGCTCATAACCCTGTTAAACTTCATCTGTTTTCTCTCTATTGCTCAGTCACCAAGGTCAACAGGAAGTCTTACTCTGCTCTCCAGATTGCCCAATATTGTAATATAATTGACAGTTTTAATAAGCAGAGGTCAGGTTCATGATTTAGGTATATTTTTATAATTAATACAAATATAGGGCTAGTTTCTGAAGCATATTACTTACTGTACATCTTTCAGATGAAACCAAATCATGGATAACTTTTTGTTTTAGAATGGTTCCCAGCAGATTGTGCAGAAAACAAAAAGCTTTGTTGCAATGAATGAAAATAATTGAAACTATTTATTTTCTCACTAAGAAGATGTAATAGAAGCAGCATATATTACAACTCTGACTTTACCATTACTAATGTTCTTGCCCTGCAGACACCGTGTGTTACTTCTATTGGATCAGAACTGAAACGACCCTACCAGTAGCCACACTGGTTGGTGGGATTTTACAGGGGCATTTCTCCTAAAGCTGGTGGTCTAAAGTGGAGCCTTAAGACTGGCTGCTTTCCTCTCGCCTCCTCCCTTGTCATATTTATGCGCCGACCTCACATAGTACAATGTGATGAGCTTTAATCCTCTGTGCCTAAGGGCACAGCATGGTACTTTCCAAATAGTACACACTCAATAAATGTTTGTCGAATTGAATTCCCTATGAATATATACTTTACCATTTTATTATAGAAAAAAATGTTATCAGTCCATAAGTGTTTCAAAAATGAAATATTTTTATAAAAGTAATACGTAGTTATAGTTTAAAAATTCAAATGGACCTGGAAAACAGCAGCGCCTACCCTCTCCTCCCATCTTTCTGTCTTTTTCCACAGGCAGCC